TTTTTTTTTTAATCAACTTATATCGAAAATATATTTTCTTATCGCTGTTCGCGATATGTCTCTCGTAAAAAGAAACCAATCGCATTCAAAGGTCCTGCCTTCTGGGGTCTCATCAATCCGGAATGGTGGCTCTGTAACAAAGGTCGCAGACAATCACCGGTCAATCTCGAGCCCACTCGACTGCTTTTCGACCCGAATTTACAGCCACTTCATCTGGATAAGCACAGAATCAACGGTGTATTGGCGAACACCGGACACAGTGTGGTGTTCGCCGTGGAGAATGACACCCGCCATCCGGTCAATATTTCCGGCGGTCCGCTCAGCTATCGCTACCAGTTTCACGAAATTCATCTGCACTTCGGCATGGACGATCGCATCGGCAGCGAGCACACTGTCGATGGACACGCCTTTCCTGCTGAGGTACAATTGAGATAATAATGAAAATTTTTCACAAACAAATTTCTTCGCTTATCGCACGTTTTTATTTTAATCTTCAGACTTTTTGATATTCAAGCCTTAATTATATTCTCCTTGAAATAAGGTTTCGTTGAGAAGAATAATATTTAATTTTATAAGTGGTGTAAAAATCTTGTTTATATCCGACGAAGAAAAGAATTCTTGTCTTTAGTGGCTTCAGACATGTGCTCAAAGCCTTTTGTTCCCCGCAGCTCCAGATCTTCGGCTTCAACTCGCAGCTTTACAACAACTTCTCGGATGCCCTGCACAGAGCGCAGGGGATCGTGGCAGTGTCGCTTCTTTTGCAGGTACATGTCTAATCTCTCCCGTCGACGCGCTTATCGCGCGACGAATAAAGATCGGAGTGAGCGATACGTCATAGATCCGTTTGGTCCTTTTCTAGGTCGGCGATCTCTCGAACCCAGAGCTGAGAACGTTTACGCAGCAGCTGGATAAAATCAAATACGGAGGTAAGGAATTCAATTACGTAACGAACTACATCTATTCCGGGATACAATGGTTAGAAATCGTGAGGAAACCGCGATCGATTCAGCGAAAACGGCGATCTCATTTTAGCTGACAAATTTTAGCCGCGCGAGTTTAAAATTTCGCAAAGTATTTTAATATCAGTCAAGATTAGCATAATGATCGAGCGGATTAACGCGGGATTGCATCACTTTCATAACAGCGACAGATGAATGTTCTCCACCATACTATTTTTCTCTCACAACGCGCGGTATTATAATTTCGTGCAATTAATAATTAACGAGGTGCATTAAAAATTTCTTCTCGAATAAAAAGCATCGAAGGACATTCGTTTCTTTTGGTTTTGTTTCTTCAAACAAATTTACGTCTCGGGATAAAAATTACGTTCGAATGAAAAAGCCGAAAGATTGATGCACCTTCGAAAGTTTGATGGCGGCATGCATTATAAGTTTCTAAAAACTTGGCATGGTATTGTCGCCAACTTTTTACTAAGAAGATAAATCGATAATTACCATCATTCTTTAAGGGAACACGAGTGTTCCCTGACGTATGCAAATATGATCGAGCGGTATGCTGATAACTTCAGCGATACCTAACAATGTACGTATCAACGGTGTACCGTGGCGTCTGTAGTAATCGGGGCAACACACGCGTGTATGCATACGTGCACGTAAACGAAGTTGACGTTATCGACCGTATGAATTGCACAGGGCAGGCCATGGAAATTAAACGTTTCGGAGTGCGCGAACTTCTGCCGGACACGAAGCATTACATGACATACGACGGCTCTACCACGATGCCGGCGTGTCACGAGACTACCACATGGATCATCCTCAACAAGCCCATATACATCACCAAGCAGCAGGTAAGTATTGCCACCGCTTTTAAAATGCATGCACACGCCCCCCCCCCTTTCCCGCTCTCGACGTTCGCGCGCGAGACGCGAAATACAGCGACCCCACTCAATTATGCAATTCCGATCATTAAAAGGGAGAGTCTCTTCGAAATACCGAGAAGAACACTCTTCGGCCATGCTTCACGAGTAACTTCGCGTAATTAAAGTGTTCCGAAATAAGAAACCAATAAAGTATTCATCACTTCGTACTTTGAAGCATGTTGTTATTTAGAAAATCTGTACTTTTCCTGAATTTTATAGCAACCATTAATTATCATTGGTATTTAAAACGTATTTTATATTTATTTACTGCTTATCTATTCTTATCGACATAAAATTTAGAAAGGTATAGAGAATAAAGAAAGGATAGCTAAGATAAAAAAAAATTCTATAATAAAATAGTATAAACCTTTAAAATCTAAATTTTTTTGAACTTACGATAATCTTTTTCTCTATCGTACAAAAATACGCATGTAAACGTATTATAAATATGTTGGCGGATTAAGAAAAGGTTTTGCGTGGGCAGCTGCGTGATCTCTCGAATTAATAAAGTAGACAGTTTTATTAATAGACCAAATTCCATTAAGAAATTCTATAATAGCCGTTGCGTACATAGTAAATGTGTTTTTAATGTGTAAGTTAAGCAACATCGTGCAATAACATTTGTGATAATCGATCGTGTATTTAAATTACCTAGCTGTCACATCAGAATTGCAAATGTTGTTATTACTGATATCGATCATATTCGGCCATGTGATAAAATCACTCGTACATTATGTAATAATAGGGATGGTGAATCTGATTGGGAATGAATTTTATTTCAACTTTTAAGCAAAATATTTATGTGACAATGAAGCTAATCCACGATTATAAATAATTTTTTTAATGTACGTTTAATTATATTTTAATCTACTTTTATTGAAGTTATATAAATTATCCAGTGAAATGTCTAATTATTTTATTCTTATTACATCTCGAAGCTTTTCCTATGAAATAACGACACACCGAAAATATATATATATTAAATTTTCTTTCCGCTACTTATTACATTAAATACGTCTCATAATTCTTATTTTCGTAATTATTGCAGCTGCACGCCCTGAGATTATTAATGCAAGGGGACGAAAAGCAGCCAAACGCGCCGCTTGCAAATAACTTTAGACCACCGCAACCGCTTCATCATCGTCCCGTTCGGACGAACATTGATTTTAATGTTCAGGTACGCCATAATAGCGTAGAATGCATCCCCCTCTGTTGCAAAAATAATTGTGCTAATCTTCATACCACGTGTTTAGGGTCCGAAGAATTGTCCGACGATGAACAGGGACATATATTACAAAGGTATTATGCAAAATTTTCGGATACACAATGGCGGCCAGCTACTTAAGAACCGTTTATAATATCTACAATAGAAAGTAATTTTATTTCGTAAATTGGATTGTTTGAATGTTAAACTTATATCTGAAATATGTCGCGTATCTGTATGTTCGAATATTAAACTTATACCTGAGATTTACGAAATATCTGTAAGATAATTTTAAATCAACTTTTTTCTTACATTATGAATAATGAATGAATATTTGTCACATTTTATAATCTCGCACCAAAAATCGCGGACAACTATTTAAATCTTAAAAACATTTTATCACTCACGCTATTTTAGCACTTATAAAATTATCTGCAAAATTAACATATTTATATTAAGTGCTTTCCTTTAATTTAAAAGTCTGCCGCTAGCTGACAGAATATTGATTATTACAAACAATGATCTAAAACAACTTAAATAGTTGTCTGCTATTATTTTAATGTAGTAAAATATTAAAAACTTTTATTACTAATTAATTAACGACAAAATTATGCTTATCTCCGATGATATGTACGAGTATATGAACAATAAATTTATATATATAACATATGATAAATCAATTTTATAAAACGAAAAATCTTTTTATTTCTAAAATCACAAAATAGTCTTAAATGGCTGACCGCCACGTTCCAATTATCGCAAAAATAATATTAGTCATAAAATCATAGAAAACGTACGTACAAAGTCTCATTTACTTTGAAATTATGAAAATCATTAGTGAATCATCATTTTAATCTTCTTGCTTAGGAGCTATCGGAGCTTGTAGAAAATTATAGATCTCTCTAACTGTATTAAACTCTTTCGTTATCTATCTTTTCATGTTCCAGCCAATAGCTGGAAATAATACCCAGTACTGCCATGAGGTCGACGTTTGCAGTAACTACGCTTTTCCCCGGAACGAGCTGGAACTTCTTTCGCTGTAAGGAAAAAATTGACATATCAATTACGGGCGGGTGACGCCGGGTCACAAAAAAAAAAAATTAATTGCGACAGGTAGAACGCGCAGAGAAAGCGACCGACGACGCCCACGTCGGCGTCGAGGTCAAAATTAAGAAAAAAAAATGCTTCGTTGTACTTATTAGACGTGAATTGCCAAGTATGTTTCCAGTTAAACCAGAAGAAAAAAAAACCAGATATACCTATAGATCACAAGTTAGACGAGATAAGCTAATCGTAAGATCTATTATTATACATATATCGGTAAACTATCGAAAAAAAGCTATGACTATCGTGGCCTGCGCGAGGGGTTGAGAGATGCAATTATATGTATAAAAATTCATGCGCGACGGAGCGCGCTATCGAGCGAAAGTTTATACTATATTCTTGTAATAAAAGCTTGAAAATGCAGAACACGAGACGCTTTCCGGCAACTTTGCTCGATTCTTGCCTCCACCTGTTAATTAGTTTTCATCCCACGAAGAAATTGACTGCTTTCCTACTCTTATCGCGGAATCCGCTGTCCTAACAATAGCCACCCCGCCGATATCCCGGCATTGTCTTGTAATAAAGCTTGGATACACGGAGTAAGCCGCACTTTGGCGAGTCTCGTCGAATTCCTTTATCAAGTTCACCAATTAGGATCCGTTCTCCCATCCTACTGTCATCGATTCCCCTCTCCTCCCTCGTGGATTTTGTTACTTAAACAACAGTCGGCGCTCCGGTGTTGTTACGGCGTAAGCCGCCAACAAAGTAGCGATGCCGCTGATAGGTCAGACCGCGATATTGAAGTTCGCAGACCCGGACTGGTAGGTATGAGAAGTGTGTGTCTGGAGTCGATAACGTAGAATTCACCGAGCGAAACCCGGTTAATCCCAGCCTCGACGATCAAAGCTCGACGTAGTCTTTTAACGTCTCGGCCGTTCGGAGAGAGAAAATCGATTTTCCTTCGACGATGTAGCTGCGCGCCTGCACCGGTCAGCCCATCATCAGCTTCCAGTGAATGCCGTTCCGCCGCGCCTCCATCGTCCCTTCTGTGTCCTTGCCGTGACCGCTGATGCACGCTGAATAATCCTCTCACCGAAATCCTTGCCTCGCGAGAGAGAGAGAGAGAGAGAGGGAGAGAGAGAGCGCACAAAGCACACCGCGAAGAAAGGATTCGCCGAAGATTGCTGAAGGAGCAGGAGGGGCGGACAGGGGGAAGATATTACTATCATTGAACCGCTGCCCAGAATTCGACGGTGCTGCCTGTAGACGACTACGCGACCAGGAAACCAGAAACGAAGCGCGGCGGGGGTGCGCTGAGCGCGCGAGAGGAAGCGAGAGAGCGGGCGAGGGCGAAAGAGGGAGACGCGAAGTGGGAGGAAGGTTCGCGGAAGAGAAAAGGGCAAGCGCGAGGAAGAGAGGGACGAAGGGCGGAAGGCGCGGAGGAGAGGGCGCCGCGCGCGTGAGAGAGGGACGAATACGCGGATACAGATCCGTCGTGTCGGTGGCCGCTGCGGCAAATCTGCGGCTCTCCGCGGCCGATCGTCGTAGACGCTGTGATAGTGAACGCCGGATACGACATTAGGCGCACCCGGCCTGGATTTGGGTGCTAGCGCGCCGTTCGCGATCGCGTGTCCCTCCCGAGCGGTCCCCGAGCTGGCTGAGCGAGGGATGAGGTGCTCCGGTAATGGAGCGATCTCCGCGCGACCGCCGCGTCGCGTCTCGTACGGTCCAGCAGCGGTCGATCCCGACCGTAACGATTCGCGCGGATGCCCGTCGTCACCGTGATTCCGCCGGCACGGAAAATTGATTGATAGGCGAGGAGAGAAGAGCGCTGGAGGAGGACGTTGATGTCAGTCGACGACCTCGTGGATCGAGTGGGGGGTGTTCTCTCGTGAGAGAGCGGACGCATATCGAGTATCGGCGGTGGGTACGCGTGAGGAAGACACTGACGAGTGCGCGTAACGACGTCGAGAGACGCGTCGCAGGAAGAGAGGAAGGTAGCGCGGAAGCGTTCCTCCTCCGCGACAGTTTCGACGCTTTGAGGACACACTCGTATACGCGAAGGTCATTCGTTTCGATCGATTTCTCTCGCGTGCGAAATCGTGCGGCCGTCGGTGAAGTGTCTGTAAAAAAATCTCTAGGTCGGGGAAAAGGAAAAAGAGACAACCGCGTGGGAAGAAACTACCGCGCGCGACACGTAACGTTCGATAGAATTTCGGGAGAGTCGAGACACAGTGTACGCTCGTCTTTAAGGTCGGAGGGAGGCTGTAAGCGGTCCCGTGATTGGTTAAGCGCGTCCGCGGGAATCTTTTTTACCCTGTTACGTGCGCTAATTCGAGTTGACGACGCGACGCGAGATACGAGATAAACTGATGTTGGGGCCAGCAGTCGATGGCTGCCGTGCCGATGCCTGTATTCGTTAGGTCGGAAGATCGACCGATATCGGGGGGCGAAAGGGGCCGAGATAGAGTGCCGAGGAGTGACTCCGTTTGAACGACCAAGTTCGACGTTTTGCGATCGACGCCGCTAATTCGCGCGACGGCGCGCTGTGTTCAGCGATTACGGAGACTAGCTCGGAACTGAAACTGCCGCTATTACTCGCCGCCAATTCGACGGCTAAACTTTCGCCCAACTTAATTACGGCGCTGCAGCCGTGTCGTGTTCGCGTCTGCGAGAGCCAGGCGAAAGGCGACACCAAGCTACTCTCCTCGCCGCAACTCGACGCTCGTGTTCCATGAGAGCGCTAATCGCGGTCCCACGAACGCCGCCACTGTGTTCACCGTCGAGCTCGCGATTAATTTATGATAAGTGCAGTAAGCCGCCTGGTGTGGATTACGCGGACCGTGGCCCGGGGAGGGGGGGGAGAAGAGGGGTCCGGTGTGGCATCGTTAGCGGACTCAGCGATTAATATGGCGAGACAGGCATATTCCGTCGTTGATTAATATGCCGACCGCGAGGAGCGTCAAGGCGGAATTTAAAATTCATATCGCTCGCATAATCGATAGCTTGTCACACGCGCTCCCTTTCTGATTTCGATTCCGCCGCCGCTGCCGAGGCTACTTATGCGAGCTGCATATCAAACACCACTGTGCAATCTCTAGGATCGAACGGAGGATTCGTCCTGATATTTCATACGCGGGTGAGTATTCCGCCAATGTCGGCGCGATAACGCTGAGAGCGTAATGTATGTAAGATTCGTAATTTTTTTGCAGATTATGTCGCCCTGAGATTTACAAAGGAGAGTAGAGCCTAGCTAGCTTATAAGATTCGCGCGCTAATGGCGTTCGCTTCGTCAGAATGAAATCGGAGAAACCGCTGGCTGTGCTGCGGGCGCAACGACGTCCGGAGGACGGGACTGCGAAATGAAAACTCCCGAGGGAGACAATGGAAGCATCCGCGCGAGCATGACGGTCTCATTCAGTGTCACGGACGGCACGCTCAGGCGGCCACAAACGAGACGCTCGGGTAAGAAACAACTCGTCCAGAATTTCGTTTCCTGTCGCTTCGCTCGCGACGCCGCGCGCGACGTACGCACCACGTTGTTCGCTTTAAAACTTACTTTCTAATTTTACGGTTACATATTTTGTTGCGACATTTATATTTCCGCGTGTAAAATTCGTCTATCGCAGATTCGCTGGAAGTAAAAAGATCAAAATGATAAACGATCGTTTTGCATTAGCCTCTTCCGGCTCGCGAAATGACTCCGCTCTAATCTGCCGCGAGCTATCTGTTATTCCAGCAATGTAATATTTCTCCCTTTATGCGCGACACCCTTTGTACGCCGACGTCCTATTCTTCCGCTTATATTAAATTCCTATTTTCCGGTAGTGATAGCAGTTCGCACTCGCTTTATTCTTCCGTTCGGACTCGCCCCGAAACGGACGGGCGACGATAAATCCATCGCGACGCGAATCGTCTCGCTGAGACGCCGCGGCGAGACCACAAAGTATCGAGTACACAAACAATCGATTACGAGGCGAGATGTTGACGCGAGGCCTTTGTTGTCGTGCTCCGCAGCCCGCCACTGAAACGGAGAAGAGGTATCGTCGTCGTCGTCGTCGTCGTCATCGTCGTCGTCGCTCTGTTGCGGTGGAGCCAGCTTCCCGCTCTCGCCTCGAGGCGAAGAGAGGATCCGGACGGAGGATCGGACATCGGGTAGACACACCGATAAAAGGACGGTGTTATGTTAGTGACAAGGCCTCACCCTCTAGGAGGGCGCATACTACTCGCCCTCTTCCTCCTCACCGGCTGTTTCGCCTTGCTGTCACGGGCGGCCGCCTTCCCGGACTGGACCGACTGCCCGGCGGTGTGTCGATGCAAGTGGACCTCCGGCAAGAGTCCGCTCTGTGCCCGGACGCCGGCCTGACATCGCTGCCGGCGTCCCTCGATCCGGACATGCAGGTTCTCGATTTGTCCGGCAACAAGATACCCGAGCTGCAAGCCGAGATATTCAAGCGGGCCGGCCTGGTGAATTTGCAGCGGGTCTTTCTACGTAACGCCGGCATTTACAGCATCCACGCGGACTCTTTCAAGGACATGAGGATACTCATTGAGATCGATCTGTCGGACAATCATGTGACGAGCCTGGAACCGGACACATTTCTCGGCAACGAACGCCTGCGCATCCTGATACTCAGCGGCAATCCGCTCGGCACTCTGCGCAACACGCAGTTTCCGGCTCTGCAGCATCTGCGGAATTTGGAGCTGCAACGGTGTTCGTTGACCGAGATACATGGCCAGGCCTTCTCCCGGCTGACCGGCTTGGAGTTTCTCAAGCTGGACGGCAATCATCTGGAGTATCTGGAGGCTTCGGTAATATCCAATCTCTCACGGCTGAAAACCTTGACGCTGGAAGGCAATCAGTGGAGATGCGACTGTCGACTGCGAGGTTTCCGCACCTGGCTGATCCCCGAGGCGCCCAGCAAGCTGTATTCTGTGCCACAAATCTGCTCGGGTCCGCAAAGATTGGAGGGTCGCAGATGGGAGGACGTGAAACCCGTCGAATTCGCCTGCGAGCCGGAAGTATTCGTTTTGGCGAGCAGCATACAGGAGGAGACGAACGGTAATCTCAGCCTGGCGTGTCTGGCAACCGGCGATCCCGAGCCGGAAGTCTGGTGGCAATTGAACGGCGGACCGGTCAACGTCACCAAATCGACCGATCAGAGTTACACGGGGACCCTCGTCGTCTACACGACGTCCGAGATCGGCAGCGTCACTTCCGATAAATCCGCGTCGTCCAAAATCGTTCCGGATCGCTGGAGCAATATGACGGTCTACAACGCCAGCGACAGCGACGCCGGCGAGTACGTTTGTTTCGCGCGGAACATCGCCGGCGTCGCCCGGGACGCGGTGAACGTGGCGATTCCGCGAGTCTACACGGCTCCGACTCTCTCGCAGAGCGACAACTGGCTGCTCTGGGTGAGTCTGGCGGGAGGCGGCGCCGCTGCCGCGTGCGCCTCCATCTCGGCGGTGATGCTGGCGCTCTGTCTGTGCGGCGGCAGCCGGCGACACAGCAAGCGCGAGAAGATCAAGCTGCAGGGCAGCAGCAGCTTCGGCGATCAGGAGAAGAAGCTGCTGGATCTGTCCGTGACAACGACGACGCCCGGCAACAGCAACGACCGCGGTAGCGGCCACGGCAGCCTCGGCGAGGCGTGCAGCACCGGCGATCTGGAGCTGGCCGAGCGCGGCTCCATCTGCGACCCGATGGCCGCGGCCGCGGTCACCGTCGAGCGGCTGCGGCCCGCCGAGAGCGCGGTGAACGCCATCCGCACGGTGCCGTGCGCCTCCACGCCCGCCGGCGTGTTCCCGCCGCCGCCGCCGGAATTCACCACCGGCGTGCTGCCGGCTGGCATCTTCGGCAACATCTTCATCTCCGTGTCGCTGCCGCAGGACGCGTCGTCGGAGCGCTGCTATCCGGATCTCCTCGACATCCCCGTCCACGCGGTAAGCGGCGCCGCGACCGGCGTCGTCACGACCGGCAGCAAGGCGATTCTGCCGGCGACGTCGACCGTCAACGTCTCCAGCTTCGCCACCCTGCCGCGCCGTGCGCTACGCACCTCCGAGATCGCCATCGGCTCGCCTTACGACAATATGGGGCCGCGCATCACCGCCAACGGCAGTTCCGCGTTCTCGCTGACGGACATGGATCTGCGACTGTCGCCGCCGCCGCCGCCGCGAATCATCCAGCCGCCGCACGAGTTCGTTTCCCTCTAAAGCTGCGGCTTTCTCCGTGTCATCGATCCATATTGTCGCGCGCACTAATTTCGTTAATCAATAATTTACCGTTAATAGCGCTTCTCCGTTATACATATATATTGCATAGTGGTCCGTTATTACCCGATATTATTGGATGACGACAATTAACGCGCGATAATATTGACCGTGACAGGAATCGCTTGTGGACTGACTTCGCGAGTACGCCGCGATTCGAACGAGTGATCCGTATACGCTCCTCGGTGGAGTTTACCAAAACGCATCGAGTTATCTTTCGTATCACGAGTCGTAAATTTTGGCAATGACACGGGTCACGCTGGTATCGAAGAACTTTCGTCCCAGTATTATGCGCTCTCACCGAGCAATCAAGAACTTTGTTGTAGCATCAGAATATTGATCGCGCAACTCTCTGGACTGCCGCTTATCGAATCAAAATTTTTAACTGATATTTGTTTACGAAGATATATCGTATAATCTACACGGCAATTAAAAAAAAAAAAAAGTCATTAATCAAACCGCCTCGATTATTGTCGCCTGCTTGCGCAGCAGATACGATGTGATAATCTCTACCGATTTGTCACGAGAACTACGCAAAACTCAGCTGATAACTTAAGGAACAATCAACGATTAAATCCAGACAATTTGAATCGAGTCTGAAAATCATCACAAAGGCGTCGAATATTTTTTAAGCATCTTTTGAACTTTTGTATTGTGTTTAGGAAAGTACTATGAGTGTAGCAACTATCTAGACGATTTTTTTCGAACGTTTTATCGAAAAATTATTATTAAGAGAAGGAGCATGTAAAGAAAAAAAAAAAAAATACTGCAGGGAGTGATTAGCATGTGTCGACGTATATTTTTGGCGGATAGACAGAATCGTACGAACCGTCGATGGACAGAGCCGGACATCTCGTGGGGCGACAACGCGCTTGTAGTCGTGATTAAACAATTCCCTCGGGTGCAGTCGAAATCAACATCATTCTTCCCTTTGTCACGTAGCGGCGAATCCGGCGAATTAGCATGCGGGGAAAAGGGGAAGCGATTGCAATAGAGGAAATCGATATCTTCCGCCGCGTCGGCCGATGTATCACCGAGATTAGTATACGGAGCATTTGATCGAGTGCTAGAATGTATCGGCGGCCACTGAATACTGTCCGACCTATCGAATATCTGTCTGTCTATGCTTGTCTACCTGCCTTGCCCGCTTGTCCGGCCGGACTACCCGCGGCCACTTGCGCCCACAGTGACTATGTGATTTTGGACGAGTGTGCTTGAGATATCTTAGAGTCTAAGTCTCTTCTAGTCCGCTAAAATGATTCGAAACGAAGGGCGAATTCGGCGCGACACGTTTGTACATAGTTCACGGCTATTTCTTCAAACGATGGACCTTCGACCGGCGTGGGCAAACGCCGAGCGCCTCCCATTATCTTCCTCCCATTCATTCTCCAAAGTGTATCACTAGTTTGTTACGTACTCTCTACGTGTGTACATATTTGTTATTACATTATACATTCGTGTATATACACGCGCGATCTGGACGCTGCGGATTACGCGCACGCCGACGCGTTATACATGGATATATTCATTATGAACACTTTGTCAATTAATAAAATCATTGAATTTTACATACATCGAGTCACTGGTTGTGTACTGTCTTTATTCATCGTTGTGCACATCGTGCGAAAATGATGCGTGGCACCGTATTATATTTGCAAAATTCGATTTTAACATTTATTGGCGTATCAATCGCGTTTTAGAGATTAAAAAAAAAAAAGACATAACACGGAGGCATTGAAACATTGAAATCATCGTGGTATTGTTTTTCTGTACCCAATTTATATGCTAAAAAAGTAACCAACCAATAAATAATACCAAATTTTAATTAATAGTTTTTTTATACAATCTATTTGTATCTATAGATTGGAACGAGTACTCACAAAATCATAAAAATTAGATACCAACGCATCAATTAAATTGTATACATATATTTAAAAAAATTCAGTTAACTCAGCATAAACAAAATTTATATTTCCATTCTGTACGAAAATGAACAACGAATTGAGTCGGTTTTATTCTGAATAAAAATCCAGGTAGAGCCACTCTAGAATCGGGATTATTTTCATCAAAAAGCCGATATTCGTGATGAAACGGGGCGGGGATTGCGTGTAAAAATTATAAACAGCAGTATTCAAGTGCAGACTATGTATTGTGTTGCATAACTAGCGTACAAAGTGCAAGGATAAGGTGGATCGCCAAATGCAAATGAGGAAACGATCAAAAGTATCACACATTATGTTCCTGGTGACAATTTTGACAGTAAGTTTATTCTCTCCTGTCGAGTCAACATCCGTCGAATTTTGCGAAGACCGAAATGGACGAGTTACAGGAAATTCGTGGCATCGTGCTCATTTTCACGGCCTAATCTTGGAGTGTACCCTCCTTGACCTTGAGTATTTCGAGAACCTGGAAGAAGATCAATCACACTGCAGATGGATCGCACGTGGAGCATCTTAAATTATTCGCATTTAAGGATTAATGTAGTCATGACGCTCGCACGACTCGTTTCTTTATAGGAAAAATGAATATGACGTTGTGTATGACAGTCGATATCTATTGAACATCCGCGACGAGTATTCTGAGAGAATATTTAATTTAGCGAAAATAATATGAGCGATCCTTCGGTAACATTCGAAGACGTCGATATTCATTATAGAGAATATATTCATCTTTTTTTTTTGTTTTTATACGGTGCAATATTACATTATTGATATAAAATTAAAATATTCTCAACATTCGATTTTTAATAAAATTTATATGATAAAGAGTTGGTCACTTTTATTAATTTTAAAAATTTTCCTTAATAAATTACACAGTTAATTTAACATAGTATTTGTAATGGAAAAAGATTCTTTTTATCCATACCTCGTAAACCAGAGTAGTATGATCGAAGATCGTCGATTTTTGTGCGACAGGAAGATCCTTGTATCCGTGTACATGATAGGGCATCAACCAGGAGCCATCTTTTTGCATTTTGTCAGCATATTTAAATGGTTTGTTCGCATACTCTGCACAAAGCAGCAGTTAACAAATGAATACCCATTTACTTGACAAAAATGTATGATATCCATATACATTTTATTGCATGCACTCATTTGTTTAAATGTGACAAACGTGATTCTGAGGGGATAACAGAACATCGTTTAAATTGACTCATTAAAAACTGCAAACGCACGCCATGAAATGCTGCATTGTTTCATATAAATTTATACATTTGCATTCGTATTTTTCCGTGGATTTTATTCAATTCCGTAAAACTTTAATTAGTAACAACGTCAGATATTGATCCGGCGATGTATTTGATGTGGTGTATTAAACGTTTGCAATAAAATAATATCCACGTAACAACGTATATATGTATTAAAATATTTTATAACTACTCGCGAATATCGCATCATGTAGCTTTCTTTTTAAAAAATTTAAAAAATTTACTGTTAGTTGTCATTATTTGTGAAATTTTTCTTTATGTGTAACTTTTTAAATTAAAACTGCAAAAAATAACTTGTCAAATAAATTTTTAGTGTACTTTAAAATATTGAAAGACTATTTGTTTTATGAAGTTGTTTGCACCTTCGTAATCGCGGTCTAAAAAATTGTCAGGATCCACATAGTAGTATTCGAAATCGGCATCAGACGACAAATCGTGAAATCGATATCCATTGTCCAAGCTCGACGGATCAGATCGTCCTGCGCGAGGTACAGTTATCACTCCAAAAGCACGTCTTGATCTAGAGAAACTTGCTAATTCCGAATTTCTGCCGAGTCTGGGATATGCCACCATTCCAGCGGATCGCCTATCATTAGCTTTTATCTTTTGACCGTCTGGAACAACGTAATGGCCAATTAGAATACCCCATATTTGAAAATATTTCTGATTTCTCTTAAAAATTAAATTATCGCATTCCTTTTCGAATTCCATATATAGTCACTGATATGCTTGTCTGATGCATACATTTATTACAAGTTCTGATTGGATAAGTTCAGAATCTACTCGGAAATATAATTCCCCGACTTCATGCGTCATCACAATAGAGAAAAGTAGGATGAAGTAATAGAAGAGAAATAACAGAGTATAAAGTTTTAGACTAATTGTTTGTCACATAGCAAATGTTTAATATAAATAATATAAAGTGTTTAATCTTTAGTGTAGATATAAGATATAAATAATGCAGATAAATATAAATTTCTCAGCACTAATGCTAAGAAATTGTTCTATGTTTACCTTTTATAAAATATTTTATTTTTATATTTTATAAAAGGCAATTTTACAACAAAAATATGAAAAGATGAAAGTTATCGGTTTTTTTAAAAGCAGGGAACATTAGGCAAATTCATAATAAATTATAAAAAACCTGAAAAATGAAAATAAATAATGCAAATGGCTTTTATACAATAAATATTTATAAAGTAAAATATAGTGTGCAGCTATACATATACATGCTTTGTGAAACATTAAAATATTATAATAATAATAATTTATTGTTTCATCAAAAAATGTAGAATTGAATGTGAAATATATTAAAAATTTGAGAAATACTAAAAGCGTGAATAATTTAAATATATATATAAAACAAGTAAATATTTAAATTTTGTTAAAGTTTATTTGAATAAAAAAGATTGTAATCATTTAATTATATTTTCCAATTTTTTTTCTAAAAATACAACAATTCTTTTATGTTAATTTGAAGAAATCTCACGTATGGGCAATATAGAAGCATTATAAGAAATTAAACAACAGCTTTTACAAGAAATTTGAATAACATTTGAAATCGGTAAATTGTTTTCGGTTGCAGGAATGTTTGTATATTTCATCTGAAATATTAAAAAAATTAAATTTAGGCGTACGATAGAAAGACATGTGATATAAGCAGTGTCACACAAAAGTTATGCAAATATGCGACACCCATGCGAGTTCCTTGCCTCTGGCGGATTCGTAGTTCTGGCCAGCAGAGCATCTGGCAACTGAAAAATAAATGGAACATCGTCGACGTTTCTCCATCAGAGGTCGGACGTCATAATCCCTAATGATTTAATTTACACAGCACCTAACGATTTCCTGTGGGAATCTAATATAATTTTTTTCACCGTGTCGCTGTGACTATTTTTGCACATTAATTCCCCATCCTACTTCATATTTACTTCGCGTCGGGCATTGCCGCATCCAGCAGTTCAGTTGCAAAGTTGCAATTTGCTCGCAGTGAAAATGAATTAACTAACACATTGTTTGCGAGGCGATAAAAAAGGCAATCTTTAATATTAGATTGCATGCTTCCTACTATCACTGATTTCATTTATAATTTCTAGTAATGTCTTTATGATAATTTGATAGTGAATCAACGTTTTAAAAATTCTACGTATATTTGAAATCAAAGCTCAAATAAAAATATTCTAATAATAATCCAGATTTAACATTTATATAAGTTAATATAAATCCAGGTTTAATATTTAGATTAAATTAAAAAAAGAATAAAAGTTAATAGTCAATTTATAAACCGATTTTAATTTGAAAAGTTTTCAAAAGTTTCATTTTTATTTATGCATATCTTACAGAAATAATTAACCAACATTTTTACATCAAATGCGGTACCAAAATGCATATTATTTTTAAATCAAGTTTGGAAAAACGGTGTGAGAGGTGCAGGCACTCATGAGTCTTGATTAAAATTTGCGAATTAAGACCAACTGGCTTAATTAAAACGGAAATATTTTAAATTAATTGTAAGTTTGCGATGTGGACTTACGATTGAATGAGATAGAAGATACCAGAAGGATCACGAGGATGAAAAATCGGTTGTCCTGCATTTCGTACAATGCCAGTAATCGAAATTCTAAATAGCGATGCTGTGAAGCTTAGAATCACACCGACACTGAATGCCTCCTGTTACTCGACGTCCGATTTTATACCTTGCGCCTCCACACGGGGTTGCGCCACTCCACCCGATCATAGCCTCCCCGCAGTTCAACCTTCTTGTCGCAGGGTCTCCAGCTCATTTCTCGCCCCTCCTCCTTGCGAGACCAATGTATTTTCCGCAATTTGTATAACATACCTTTAGTTTTGTTCAAAGTTAATATTGTCGTTAATGTCGATTTAAATAATTTAAAAATCTTCAAGATAAAAAAATAATAAATACACTATAAATTAATTATTAAAAAATAAAAATAAAAAATTAAATGATATAAAAAATAAAAAATAAATTATTAATTATTAAAAAACTATATATTAATTATTAGATAAATAAAACTTTATATTCTTTTATAATATAAATATTTGTATCTTATTCTAATTCCACTTATTAATAATTAGATATTCTGTCAATTTTAAAATGGAGATAATCTTCTTTTTTAGAATAGTTATTAATAACTTTTCACAAATTTTGTAGAAAAATTAACGCACAGATGCGTATATTACAGTATTTATCTTATTACGTGACAATCATCTCAATTGGTTTTACAGTCAATATATCATTAAAATTCCATCATAGAGACATTTTCCTGCGAAAGAACAGGCATCTTTACACACAACAAAGTTAATAAAGTTTCTTTCTCCCCTTTTCTCGATACTCTCGACAGGTTTTAATCTTTCAAAAATTTCCCCTCCGTGTATACACCTCATCCATATACGTGGCAATCTGCATTTAGTAGGAGACATAGTATGAAAACATGTACACATTAATCTTCATAATGTAATTGATTGTCATATAATACGACCCTTACCCGATATAACTTGTTTATTTAATGCGCGTGGCAAGTCCTATTTATCACGAAAAGGATACAGATCCCTGGAATCATTTTTGCACGCGACATCAATTACCGGGGTATTACAGTAATTCGGTGCCTACGTAGGTATAAAAGGAAGCCGCATTACGATGATGCTGGTTAATATATAGATTTATATACGCGTGATGTGATTATCGCGCGACAGATTATGACGCATTACTGCGTCATAATTGTGCGTGACATTTTCCCGGCACATTTTCCCGGATGCTAAGTGCGAGTCTTAATCTCCCTAACGTGAACGTGCCCCAGACACTTTTTTGCGCCGTTCCTGTAACATCCAGTTGTCCGACACGATGAGCATCTTCCACGCGTCGAACTTCCAGAATTACGAATGGAAGGAATTGTAACAAATATATGGCAAATTTATCTTTCTCAATTTTAAAGAGAGAGATTGGGAATCTTTAACTTTCTAATATAAATCTGTTACAAATAGATACTGAAAAATTCACCCAGACAGCAAGAAACACAATCACAGATTCGTATGTGCGGTCTCACGCGCTGCTGTTGGTTCCCGACAGGTCTTTCTCTATAATAAATAAATCCTATTCGAGGAAATAAATAAAAGAACGATGGACACGGCTGAAATTGTGGATGGTGAACCGGGTAAGTAAAAATTAAGTGAACCGGTGACTTATTGACTCTTCCGACGAGACAGTGTACACACAGTGTATCTTTTGCGTCGTGATTAATTTATCGGATACTGCCACGGACAGTGTACGGCTTGTGAACATTTCATTTGTATGCGTACACTGGCTAATTTAAATATAAAGGAGCCTCGATAAAGACCGTATTTAACATTTACCGCCAGTTTGCTATTTAATTAATTGTATACGTGTATTGCAGCTATGGATACAAAGTATAGACGCAAATACGAAGCACATGTTTACACGCAAATTTATTTCGAGCAGAGAAAATGTTTGACATTTAGCTTTTCAAACATTTCTGTCGGTGCATATAGGATAAGATATCGCCAGCTACGGTAATTTTTTATATCAATAAAAATCATATAATTAAGCGTCGAAAAGACGACAAGAAAGCAAGCTTGCTCTATCGCGCCTGTAGATTTTTAATTTTTAGCATTGCGAGGAAGAAACTTTTTTTCGGATTGGATAGCGAAATATTATTTTCATTTGAACGTTAATTGCTTCAATATATATATAGAAAGGGTTTTATTTATAATATTATATTTTACATGATGAGTTATCAATAGTTTCACATGAATGAATGTACGGCTAATTAAAACAAATTAAATTCATTTATAAAATATATTTTTTTATTGAAATATATATTTATAAAATTTATTTCGCACCGACAAGCAGTGATGGCTCTTGAAGTTTCTTCTGAAAATTGAGACTGTACCGTTTCCGATAACCATTCCAGAATCATTTAGCTCCAATAATTGATTTGCGAGATCATTGATTAATTACAAAAATAAAACTAATAATAATAAAAACAAAAATAAAAAGCAGTTGTCAAATCCAAAAGACGCATAAATATATACCCTCTGCGGTTATATATTTTTTCGATGACGTATGTACATTGAAAGTAATAAATTTCAATCCTGAATAAAGTACAAAACCTTGTCCGTCGTTATTGAATTTATAAATATATGTGATTAACATTTAAATATACAAAAAAAATATTAAAACAGAAAAATATATATTTTTCCACTTATTTATTTCATAGAAAATGAGTAAAACTTAGAAATGAAAAATATCTTTGGATAAAAAGAATGTTTTTATAATTTTATTCTTATAATCTTGTATAAGAAATTCATAATTTTTTTTACAAAAATTACATTTTTATATCTACTATATCTATTATATTTTCCGTTATTATACTCATATCTTAAAAAAAAACGATTGATTTATGTCGATTTTTAAAAAATTAATGAAGAACGTTAAAGATCTAATCGCGATTTTACATTCCTAATGAGAGAGAGAAATGACTAATGAAATATAAATTTACATTTTATGAAATGTTGCTTGTTAGTTAACTTTTTATTTATTTATATTTATTCAAGATATGCCTAACACTGTATTCATACATAGTAGTATTGACTTTTTTCAACCTCGTAATCTCTTCTTTCATATTATTCAACTTTTTCCAAATTTTCTCTGATTCTTGAGAATTGGTGCTATCTTCTATATAGGATTCGAAATCCAGGATCTCCGCTGAGTTTCGTCCTCTGGAAATAATCCCGATGACGTTCTCTTTGACGTTCTCTTCAACGTTGTTCGTTACATTTTCTAGATTACCTATCTCTAAGCCAGATTTGAAAATAGAGGTATACAAATTTTCATATCCTCTTGCGAAGAATGCCGCGGTAACTGGTCCTTTGTGTTCCATCGTCCTGAGCACCTGTCGGCTGACAATGTCCCAGACATGAACCGCTGCATCGGTAGATCCGGACACCAGGGTGCGACAATCCACGGATACCGATAAAGCGGTCACATTTGACTTGTGAGCTCTGAGCACATTCTTCTGCTCCTCATCGCTTACTTTTATATGCTGCTCGATTCCGCGCGGTGGTTCGTGCAGATTGTGATAAAATATATCACCAGTCGTGCAGCCCACGAAGAGCTGGCTCTCACAGACATTCACAGCGACTGCTGTAAGCGGTACGTCGCAAACCAGCGTGACCAGAAGAGCTCCGCTGCCGAGCTCGTAGATGTTTGCTGTGCGATCCAGCGAGACTGTGTATAATCTCGCGCGAGCATCGCCATGACCAAAGCACAGATCTCTGATAGGCAGACTGTGGTTCGAGAAAGAATGCAGGGGAGAACAAGACTTGTTATTTAGCACGCTGTAAAGTGACCATACGAACAGCAGTCCGTCCTCACCGGCGCTTGCGAATAACGAACCGTCCTTCGTGGTGCTCAAACAAGTAACGGTTTGATAGTGCCTATTCAGAGTGTTAAGCAATTTACCGTTGCAAATCTGCCAGACGAACAGTTTCTCACCCACTGCAGTGATTATATAAGAACCATTTGGTGTGCAAGTAAGAGCGTTGACTTTGCCTGGTGTGGTCAGTCGAACGTTGGCCAAGGGTGATGGGTTATTCAACGGCCAAACGTGCAGACGATGTTTTGTGACATTGGCGCCTAACACATAGCTGTCGCCGACAAGTTGAAGAGTGCGGGGACCGAGCGCTGACGTATTTCTGAAAGTGGACAGCACAGAACCATTTCGAGGATCCCACACTGCAGCAACCCAGCTTTCCCCGGTGGAGTCACTCGTTAGAATTACTTCTTTTGCATCGGTTATTCGCGACATTTTTAAAATCTTGAAACATAAAAAATCGGTTCATTGTATGACAGGTTATACAATGTTACATATACAATAGATTATATATTAAATATCATACCACTATAGAGTGCTACGTCAGTTCCGAGGTTATAATTTTCTTATCAATGTGCAGTTTTCAATTTCGCTTTTCCTTCCTTAACAAATATTGATTTCTATTAGAAGCAATACAAATCTTACATTTTTGTTCACACTAGTAAACACGTGGGAAACATAAATAGGTTAGGTTAGGTTAGGTATATTCTTCGAATATGTGTACCAGTGATGCGATATCTACTACCGGGCTCGCGGCTCTCGAGCCCCAACACAAGTAAGAAGCGCTTACGTCACGCGTCTGTGTGCGCTTGGCCGTTCGGCTATAGAGAGAGAGCGGACGTCTCTGTCTTGCTACCATCGAGCCGACGTAAACACATTACGGACGGCAAATGCTCAGAAACAAACGCTTTTAATCGAGTAAGGCGAGTAAGGCCTAGCAAATTCGAAATCCCGTATTCGAGACTTGATTTTTGCTAACTTTTTTTTTCTTTTTCCTACTATTT